TAGTTTTTCCAACTCTGTTTTACGTTTCTTCTTGGGTTGTTTTCCTTTCGAGGTTGTTCCACTTGTACTAAGTAGACCAAGTGAATGCATCAAACTCTCACCCGCTGCTTTTAAAACCTTCTTTTTGGCTTTTTCACCAAACGATGATTTTGGAGTCAATTTGGGTGACGGTTTGGGTGAAGATGGTTTGTGAAGAGAAGATTTTAAGGTTCTCACAGGTGTTTGTGAGGATGGTTTGTGTGGAAGAAGTCTTCGCTTGGCCTTACTGAAGCTACCAGTAAAATAAGGAGTTTGTGGTTCTTTTTTAATTGTAGACCCTTTGATGATCTTACGCAACATGTTTTCCAAGGGCCCTTCCACCATACCTTCATCATTGTTATCTAAGTCGATGGGTTCATTTCCTCCAGTACCCTGACCGGGTCCTAAACGAATTCGTTTGGTCAAACAGCGTTGCTGTCTTGCTAATGGTTTGGCCATCTTAACAGCTGTAGCAGCTGGAATTTGCTTACTCGTTAGGATGAGATGTTTTTTGGCAGCCACTCTACCTGCCTTGTTTAACAGAGTACTATCTGAAATTTGACCTTTGAAGTATTGAGTGAGATTGTCGAAGTCTTTAGTTGGTACCATGATCATTTCGTTCATGACGAGAAGCGGTGTGAAAGAGTTCTTCCCAATANGCGCTGCAGACCTTTTCTCAGTTTATGTCCGGGAGGGTACCAATTTTCCCAGCCAGGTAAAGGAGCTAGTTTTTCCAACTCTGTTTTACGTTTCTTCTTGGGTTGTTTTCCTTTTGAGGTCGTTCCACTTGTACTAGGTAGACCAAGTGAATGCATCAAACTCTCACCCGCTGCTTTTAAAACCTTCTTTTTGACTTCTTTACCAAGCGATGATTTTGGAGTCGTGGGTGGAGACGGTTTGTAAGGAGAAGATTTTAAGGTTCTCACAGGTATTCGTGAGGCTGGAGTGTGTGGAAGAAGTCTTCACTTGTCCTTACTGTAACTACCAGTAGAACGAGGAGTTTGTGGTTCTTTTTTAACTGTAGACCCTTTGATGATCTTACGCAACATGTTTTCCAAGGGCCCTTCCACCATACCTTCATCATTGTTATCTAAGTCGATGGGTTCATTTCCTCCAGTACTCTGACTGGGTCCTAAACAAATTCGTTTGGTCAAACGTCATTGCTGTCTCGCTAATGGTTTGGCCATCTTAACAGCTGTTGCAGCTGGAATTTGCTTACTCATTAGGATGAGATGTTTTTTGGCAGCCACTCTACCCACTTTGTTTAACAGAGTACTATCTGAAATTTGTCCTTTGAAGTATTGAGTGAGATTGTCGAAGTCTAGTCGGTACCATGATCATTTCGTTCATGACAAGAAGCGGTGTGAAAGAGTTCTTCCCAATAAGCAGCTTTTTCCTCTGTTTCTTTTTGTTTAATCTTGAGAGATCTGATGGTCTCCTTTTCCACTGAACAGTTTTGACACAACGTAATCGTATCACCAGGTTCTGTTTCCACTGATAGACGTTGACAGTCTGAACAAACCTTGTCAAACTCCCTGGCTAAATACAATTGATTGAGTTTTTTGTATTTTGTTTGCCACTGACGTACTAACTATTCTTTTTCTTTAACTTCCTCTTGGAGGTGATCGTTGGTACGATTGGCCTCTTCTAATAAGTTGACCAGT